GCCGGGTCGCCGGGTCGCCGGGTCGCCGGGTCGCCGGGTCGCCGGGTCGCCGGCCGTCCCCTATTGGTAATAGAGCTCCAGGTTCATTCCGTCGTGGATTTCATAGTCCCCCAGCGTCACGTGGTCCTTGAACACCGTGTACCACTTCTTCAGGACGATCTTGTGCCAGCGGGTGCCCGTCTGAGCCGCAATCAGCTTCTTCAAGTCCCCGATGGAGTCGTCGGGGTTGCACTTCACACGGACCTTCTTGCCCAGCCGGTCGTTGCACACAACCTCGATCATGGCTCCCTGACGCCCTGGGCCACCAGCAGCAGCTGCAGCGTGGGCCTCAGTGCGCATGTGCTCTCGCAGGCCGCGGGCTGCCTTTTATGGGCACCGGAAACCGTAAACCGTAAACCGGAAGCCCGCAACCGGAAGCCGCTCTATTAACTTGTGCAAGTTGAACCTGTGAACGCCCCTCCCCCACCCACTTCAAAGTGATGGCACCAAGTATCTGGAGCTACCAAGATACTTGAGAATTGTGGTGTTAGAGCATGCAGATGCTCCTAGAGACCGACCCACCCTCCTAGAGTCTACACTTCAAAACCAGCTATTCCCTTCCAAACTTTTTCCTTTCCCTGAACAACGAGGGATGGGACCAGGTGTCCCGCTCTCCCCTCCAGCCCTCACCATCCAGGCTGTGTGCTTTCCCAGTCTGACAAGATCTGACTTGGAGCCAATGGGTCAGAAAGCTAAGACAGCAGGGGTCTCCAGCACCTGGCATAGGGTGGAGGCCTTTCCCTAAACTATGAAACTATGAATTCTTTTAAATGGTTTTCCTAAGGCTGCTTCTGGTGACTGTAGACTGCATCCTTTCTCTGCCCATTACTGACTTTTTTTTTTAAATTTCCAAGAGTTCATTTGGCTTCCTTTCTTTGGGTTAGGATGATGCCTTACATATACCAATCCAGGGCTGGTAAGACTGGGGGAATGGGGGGTGGGGAGTGATTGATAAATCTTATAAGGAAAGATCTTCCATGTCCCCTGTATGACTCTAAACATTGGGCTATAAGCCAGAGTGTGGTTATTTATGTTGACCTGAGAATTTAGCCAGTTCTCAGGAAAGATGTGCTCTGGGAACCTGGCCAGTTCATCAGAGCATATCAAGTTAATTAATATTCTAAGATGTTTTGCTTACTCCAGGAACTTGGCCAGTTCCTACTAGAATCATGGACACCTCTAGCACTGGGCCTTCTTTGTTAGAGGCCCTATTTAAATCCTAATTCGGAAAGCCACTTTTGGATTCTCATCTATGGAGAGGACGCTCTGCCTGGGACTTTCCCAATCGGGACCCTGAAAGCTGTACCCAGGTAATCCCCAGCTTGGACTTCAGGTGTTGGTGCTTCCCTGAATTGGTGATGTTTTCTTGTATTATTGCTTTATCCTTTGTGTTCTTAGCCTAACTATAGTTATATTGCTGATTGTATGTTGCTGTAAATCTAGCTTTTCTACACTTCTGTTAGCATCTTAAATAAAGGTACCTTCACTTCTTTCTCTAGGAGTAGGAGCTAATCTGAACCATGTTTTTCTTCCTTAATCACACAGAGGGATCCCATCTGCTCCATTCATCCTCTTCACATTGTTGGGCTCAGTAAGCAAAGAAATAAACCCACTGAAGCCTCTTCTACCTCCTCCAGTCTGGATCACCCTGCTAAATAGTCAAAGGCAGGATGGCCTGCCCTCTTCTATTCCCTCCTTAGCCCCCCCCCCCCCCCCCCATGACTTGGTTATTTTAAATCTTTAGGTGTTGGTTTGGCCTTGGCCTTGGCCTATGGCCTGTGCAGTGGAGGTTGGCCCCAAAGAACCTATCGGGGGAAATATGTAAATCCCCTTTTCTACAGGCACTATCTCCACCTGTGGTAAGTGGGAAAAAAAAAAACTCAGGGACCAAAATACACAATCTCAATCATAAGTAGCTAAGGAGTGAGTGTAGGAGAGGGGTGGGGAACCGGCCACCTCAAGGCCACATGTGGCCTTCTAGGTCCTTGGGTTTGGTCTTTTGACTCAGTCCAAATTTACAAGACAAATCTTTTTATTAAGGGGATTTGTTCTGTGAAGTTTAGATTTAGTCAAAGGACTGCACTTGAGGAGCTAGAGGGCCACATGTGGCTTTGAGGCCCCAGGTTCCCCACCCCTGGTTTAGGCACTAGCTAGAGGAAAAGAAGGATTGTATCCTTTACTCCAACTAGAATTCCTCCCAGCATGTAGCTGGAGTTTAAGAGGAAATAGAGTTAGAACTTGGAAGTGCTACTGTGATTGGATGAACAACTCTTAAAATGAGAGTTGTTCCCAAAGTGGAATGGGCTACCTCTGAAGATTGGGGAAAAGGACCATTCTCATTGGAGGACTTTGAGGGGAGGCAGAATCAATTACCTTTAGCTGGGATCTTTAAAACGGAATGGTGCTTCAGTTATGGGTGGGATTTCAATTCAGAAATTCAGATTCTAGTTTCCCCCTAGTAAGCTCTGGAGGGACTTAAGCTTCTAGGCCAGGCTTTGATTAGGTGAGAATACAATATCATTGATTAGATCATGGGCTGGGCCGGGCTGGGCTGGGGTGGAAGGGATGAGCCCACCTGGTATAGTAGAATGAGCAGTACTTCTGGCCCTCTAATTCCAAAGACCTCCTTCAAATCCCATCTCTGACACCTACTACCGGTGGGACTTTGGGCAAATCACCTAACCTCCCTGAGCCTCAGTTTCTTCATTTGCAAAGATAGCTTATATCCCCCCCATGAGGGACTCAGGAGTCCAAGTGCTAACTGCAAGTCTGAATTCCTTTGCCTTAAAATTGAAGTTTTGTGGCCTGTGCAGTGGAGGTTGGCCCCAGAGAACCTATTGGGGGAAATATGTAAACCTCGTTTTCTACAGGCACTATCTCCACCTGTGGTAAGTGGAGAAAAAACTCTGGGACCAAGATATACAATCTCAAACATAAGTAGCTAAGGACTGAGTGTAAGACAGGGGCAGGGAATATGCAGCCTTGAGGCCACATGTGGCCTATATCCAGGGCTTCTGAAATCTGGGAGTAAGTACCCTGTAAGATCTTCCAGCACCTTGGGTCTTGTGACCTGGAAGACTCTCTCATTGTAGCAAGGGCCTTCCTATCCTTTTATTTAGGGTATGGTTAATTTCATATGGTGTGCAAATGAAATAATATATTTTTGGGGTTACCTAATGTATCCCATCTTAATGGGTTCAAGCACAGGAATTAAAGGGTCTAAGGTTGTAGTTTGAGGGTTTTTTTTTGTTTTGTTTTGTTTTGTTTTCGCTTAGGCAGTTGGGGTTAAGTGACTTGCCCAGGGTCACACAGCTACAGTTATGTGTCTGAGGCTGGATTTGAACTCAGGTCGTCCTGACTCCAAGGCCAAAGCTCTATCCACTGTGCCACCTAGCTGCCCCCTGTAGTTTGGGTTCTTACACACTTCTTACCAGGCAAATTCAATTCAGTCCAATTGAATAAGCATCTATTAATCACCTACGTACAAAGCACTATGGATAATTGGATCATGGATTTCAACTACTGATTCTTTGGTGCAAGTGAGTTAATTTCATCTGTATCAGCCTAATAAATCTTATAGGCTTATAATATCTGGTAAGAATTCCTTATGCTAGTAAGCAATTGACAATTGATCATTAGTTACTTAACTATATAATGATAATCATAATGATAATATAAAAATGATAATCACAGGATTGCTTATTACTGGAGAAATAATTGTCAGAAGGTCTAGTACAGAGAAACCTCCATTTTAGAGATTTCCTTTGACAACTGTATGCCAGAGGTTCTTTTCTTAACTGTTTATGTGCCATGGACACCCTTGGCATTCTGAAGAAACCTGTGGACCCCTTCCCATAATGATGCTTTTAAACAAATAAAATATACGATTATGAAGGAAACCAATTATATTTGAATACAGTTGTCAAAATAGTAAACAAATTCACAGATACAGTAATTGTGGCCTCTGCACAAACAGAAGTTAAAATAAACACTATCATTTTACTAATAATAAAAAAAAAGAATAGGCAGGGAAGTTAGAGGATATTTAGTCCCACTCCTTCATTCTACAGATGGGGAAGCTGCCCAATTAACTTTATTCTCTTCTATAGGCAGGGTGGCATAATGCAAAGAAAGGGCTTTGGAGCCAGGAGGATCAAGGTTTAAGTCCCATTTCTTCTCTATACCAGCATGTAGTAATACCTTATAAATTCTTGTGAACTGATTGCTCAGTGACCTAAACAACTCTCTAAGACTATAATTTGCAGAGAAGATGCTGACCTGCATTGGTAGAGGGAACTTCCTTGCCATGAAGTTCTCTATATTAGTGAAATCACAGGTTCAGTCTCTATTCTTACTCTATGACTGTCATTTTATTTGTGTGTCTTATCACAATACTTGGCACTCAGAATGTATTTTATATATATATATATTTAAGATGAAAAAATTTAGGTGGCTTATACGAGTTGTGTTCAAGTGCTGGAAAGTTTGCAGTGGAGAAGAAGGGTTAGTTTTGTGTTTGCCACCTTCTGCATGAGGCAAATGTCTCTCCAGCTGCTAATGCTTCACCCTCTAAGATTACTTTCCATTTACTCTTGTATGCATTTTGTATGGGACTATTTATACATGTTGCCTGCCCTAATAGAATGTAAACTCTACAGTCAGGGGTCATTTTTGCCTTTTTTAAAATATAATTTATGGAAATTGAGGGGATGCCCATCAATTGGGGAATGACTGAACAAGTTGTGGCATATGAATGTAATGGAATACTATTGTACTATAAGAAATGATGAGCAGGTGGACTTCAGAAAAACATGGAAAGACTTGTATGGACTGATGCTGAGTGAAGTGAGCAGGACCAGGACAATGTTGTACACAGTAACAGCCAGGTTATGCAATGACCAACTTTGATAGACTTAGCCCTTCTCAGACATGCAAGGATCTAAGACATCTCCAAAAGTCATGATGGAAAATGCTATCCACATCCAGAGAAAGAACTATGAAGTTTGAAAGCAGATCAAAGCATACTATTTGCTCTTTTTTCTTCTTGTTTTGTTTTGTTTCCTCTTTCTTGTGGTTTTTCCTATGGGTTCTAATTCTTCCTTACAACATGACTAATGTGAAAATATGTTTAATAGGAATGTATATGTAGAGCTCATATCAGATTGCACACCATCTTGGAGAGGGAGGGGGAAGGGAGGGAGAGAAAAATTTAAAACAAAAAACCTATGGAAGTGATTGCTGAAAACTAAAAAAAAAATAGTAGACAGAGTAGACATAAGACACATGAACTGGTTTTTTTAAGTTACATTTTATTTTCAGTTATGAATCTTTCTCATCTCCACTTCCTTCCTCTGAAAACTAAAAAAAAAAAAGTAGACAAAGTAGACATAAGACACATGAACTGTTTTTTTTTTTAAATTACATTTTATTTTCAGTTATGAATCTTTCTCATCTCCACTTCCTTCCTCAGGAGAAACCAAGGAAAACAAAACCATATTACAAACGTGTAAAGTCAAGCAAAAGAAATTACTGCACTGGTCACGTTAAAAAGAACTATGCTTCTATCTGCACACTGAGTCCATCACTTCCCTTTTTGGAGGTGAGTAGCATTGTTTTATCCTGTGTCCTCTGGCACTGTAGTCAGTTGATGGTATCAATCAAAGTTCCTAAGTCTTGCAGAGTTGCTTGTCTTCATAATACTGCGTGCTATTGTATCAATTGTTCTTCTGGTGCTGCTCACTTCACCTTGCAGCAGTCCATACAAGTCTTGCCCAGTTTCTCTGCATCCATCCATAACGCACTTGCACCGCCTGTCTGTAGTTCAG